TTCTTCTTCTTCTTCTTCTTCTTCTTCTTCTTCTTCTTCTTCTTCTTCTTCTTCTTCTTCTTCTTCTTCTTCTTCTTGATGAAAATTCATTGCAAATTTAATGAGGAACAATCCATTTAAATAAAATGAGAAACACTTCATTTAAATAAAATGAGTTCTTCTTCTTCTTCTTCTTCTTCTTCTTGTTGATGAAAATTCATTGCAAATTTAATGAGGAACAATCCATTTAAATAAAATGAGAAACACTTCATTTAAATAAAATGAGTTCTTTTGTAGTTCATAGTCCATAAGATTATAGCATATGGATCATTAGATAGAGAGCTTACCCTTATTTAGTAGTTTATATTATGTAATTCAATCTAATTTAAATTGTAAAACACTTTTTTATAAAATGAAAAATAGTTCATTTAAGAAAAATAGGTGTTTGGGGTTTTACAATTTGTTCTAAATTACAAACACCTCAACTCAAAATTACTAACTCCACAAAAACCCTAGTTATCATGAAACTAATGTTTCTGCAGTACATGCATAACAATTTACATAATAACTCTTTTAAAAAGTAATATATCAAAATGTTTATAACTAGATAATACCTGTGCAAGAGCATAGGAATGTTAAAATAAATTAAATTAAATTTTTAATATTTATGAACATTATATTTTTTTTATATAAGTATAAAATATTATTTGTTCTTATAGTTGACTATAAAAAATAAAATACAAATAAAAATCAAATGTCAACTTTATCTTTACAATTCTCTAACACATATCAACACACTAAAGAATGATAAAAATAACTATTTATTTGCGTAGATACTTCTATCTCAACTTGAATTAGAACCGGGGATCCCCATGGGGTCGAGGTGGGGAGGAATATTCTTGCAAAGACGGGGGGCATTTTCCCCCTGCGAAATTTCATGGGGAATGTTCCTTGCCCCGCGAGATCCCATCCCCACAAAAAATTTGCAAAATATATAAAAATTAATTTTACTTTAAATTTAATATAATTTTCAAATCCAAACCCAATTCAATAAAATCTAACCCAATTTTTTTCAACCCAACCCAACTCAATCCTTTTAACCATAATTAACCCTAATAAAATTCATTTCTCCTGTTCTCACACTACCTTTGCCTCCTCTCACTCTCGGACTCTCTGTGTCTCTCACCTAGGTCACCTTTAACCTTCCCCTTTGGCCCTTCCCTACTAATCTCAAACCTTAAATCCCTTGCTACATTGCTTTTGCGCCACTACTGTGCCGCTGCTACTACTACTGCTCAAAGTCGAAGTTGAAGGCAATCTGTGGATTGTTGAATTGCCTCTGCGATTGCTACTGAGCTGCTGAACTATCTTTGCTGCGGGACCACTCCACCTACGGTTACAAGCTACAAATCCAAATGGTAAGAAGCTTAAATAATTTGTTTATGGGTTGATTTAACATAGAGAAAGTCTAGATTTTCTAGAATTTCCTAGATTCATTGATTGCTCATAGCCATTTCTATTAATGAATTGCCTAGTTAATTTCTTTAAGCATACTGATATACATATAACATAAAAAAGTGTAGTAGCTTCTCAGTAAAATCAAGAAATTGAGAAAATTGTGAATGCTTGGCTGTCTATTTAATTTTTAGAGTTTATTGTGAATTCTAGTGAAATTGTGAAAAGGAAGAATTTCCATTAACTAGAGAAAAGTTCAAAGTTTATTTTATATTTCAATGTAAAGGCATAACTATTTTTTTTAATTTATGCTCTTGGTTGTCTCCCTCCATGCTGGATGTTGGTTTAGTTATTTATTTATGTTGCATTAATTTTTGCTTAAGTTTGGAACAAGTATGTTATTTTATGTTGGATTAATCACTATTTATATTTGGAACAGCTTACGTTTGATTAATCTTTATCTATGTTTGGAACAAGTTTATTGATTTAATTATTTATGTTAAATTAATTTTTATTTATGTTTAATGTAAAAAATATATATTTAGATATTAATTGGTGGGGAATGGAGATTTTGCCTCCCGTCAAAAATCCCCACGGGGATCCTCGTCCTCGCCATTCGCGAGAACGGGAATGGGGAGGGACTCCCTAGCTCCATGGGGCCCCGTTGACATCCTTACTTTAATCCTTAAGAATTTGAATTAAAAACAATAGCTTAATAGTAAATAGAATACCCTTTACTTGTTGAATTTCAATTCTCCCTACATCTTTAGTATGATAATATGTTTTTCTTCTCAACTCAATATTATGTATTTGTTCCATGACTCTTGATTTGTAACTAATTTTTGCGAGAAATATATGGCGAATAGTTGATGATAACTTTAAGTTATTGAGTTATGATAAATGTATATTTAATTTTAGAATCCAGAAAATTAGGACGTCCTGGTGTTAGGATGTTCCATCACAGTCATCCGTTAAGTGGATCCCAATCAAGGGCCTACTTAATGGATGGCTAGGATGGATGTCCTGACGCCAGGACGTCTTGATTTTCACTTTTTTTATTTAATTTATATTTTTGTTTAATATGCAAATTTTGGAGAAGAAACATCAGTGCAACTTGAACTCTATATGTTTAGATGCCACAATAGCTTGGGTTCACTTACGATGCAACTACACGGCAAGCGAGAGAGAAACATTTATTAATAACCCTTGATTACCTTTTATTGAAACAAAAATAAATATGAGTATCAATAAAAGTTTCCTTGCTTCTTCTTCTTCTTCTTCTTCTTTTTCTTTTTTCTTTTTTTCTGATCATAGGTTACATAATGGAGACAATGCTCTTTCATCCCTTAACTTTACCTTACCCACATGCCATGCAACTCAAACTCAAGATCTCTTACTTTCACAAGAAGTGAATTACCATTGAATTACCTAGATTGTTAATAGATTTCCTTGCTTTTGTATAATTTATTTTCACCGTTATAAAGATATGTCTGAATTGTCCAAATTGAATAATGTTAGACATTCAAGGTCAAGACTTGCTTCTCATAAAATCGAGATCCTTGTCTCACCCTTAGTCCTCGATTGCACAAAAGATCTATTGGACACACAATAGTTGATCTACACCTTCAATAAGTTTGCTCCACTCACCACGTCACATTTCAATTATTGCTTCAAAAAGACCACATGAATATCAATCACCCTAGGCATATAAATACCCCCTAAAGGTCCTTGCAAAGGTATATTTCTAACATACATATTTTCCTTCATTTATCTCAACTAAGGAATAAACTACTACTAACTTAAACATTAGAGTATCTACCCTAAGGTCAACCCTTGAGGACAAAATGATGAAGTGAGAGATGGATGGTGAATTGGTGATGATGGAATTAAGGGTGAAAAATGAATGGCGGTGATGTGTAAAGGAAGATTCTAGATTGTCATTTCATATAAAAATAAATATACTATTATATAAATTAATTTAGTGTAGATGTTTTAATTTTAAAGCAACAGAGGACACTAGATCAATAGCATTAAAGAAAGAAATTGTAATTGGAAAGAAAGAAAGAAAAAGAATCAATTACCAAAATAATTAACTTAGATTTGAATTAGGAACAAATTAACATAAATCAACAAAATTATAGATGTATTAGGTATTCACTAACCTTTTTCTTCTCTCAGTAAAATTGAAGGCTAGTCTTAGTAGGAAAGCAGTGTCTTTAACAAGATCCTCAACAAAACTGGAAATTAATAGCAGGAAGACAAGGATCCAGAGTTAACCATTAACCAAAAATTCTAAACTTATCCAAGAAAATGACTAAAGAACTTAAATTTACTTTGAAATATACTTCAAAAAATGAAAATCATAAGAATTGAACTTACCTTTATGCCTAATTTTATAGATTTTGAGGAAGAAGGAGAGATTTCAAACGTTAGACAAGAAAGAAGAAGAACTGAAAGATAAAGAAGGAAAAGATGATTCAGAAGAAGAAGAAGAAGAAAATGGAAATATCAAAGCCTTAGTGAACTTTGAGGTTTCCCCCATGAATATAGAAGAAATGAAGAGGATTAGGAAGAAATCAACACAAACTCACCTATTGACCTCTTGTCGTTCATGGATTAGAGTAGGGAGATGAATTTTGTAGTTGGCTTTGGATGGAGAGGGGCAGAAACACTTAGGTCTACCTAGGAAGGGAAGCTCAGAATTTAGGGAGGGGAAATTGGGAATCTGGGAAGGAAGTGAAAATGTATACCCCAGCTAAAATTAAAAAGAAAAAAATTACATTTAAGAAATAGTGAATTATATAGACATAACACAATAATCTATTTGTATAGATACACTTGTACAAATGGATGATAATTACCATTGGTATAGATATATTCTATATAGATGAATAATTAGTAAACTATTTGTATAAATCTAGCCTATAATAGATATAGTTTTTCATTAGTATAGATCAGTGTATACTGACTGCTTAAGTTTTTTGTTGGTATACATGACTTATACAGACAGATTCCTATTCGTTAGTATAGACTGCCATTGGTAAAGGCCATTTTGCTTGCAGTGAATGATCAACCTTTTTATCCTCTCATTTAGTGAGTGTTTAATTTTTATAACTCCTACCACCCATTGATCTCTATACATAGCACTTGTATTCTTGTAAATGTGTGGGAAGAAAAGAAAAGAAAAGAAATATCACATTTCTTTACATTGCTTCACAATGTCTTCTTCTTCTTCTAATTGATTCCTTTTTTATTTTACAACAATTATTAGTATAAAATAATTTAAAAGCTGTAGGTAAATAGTAATTACTTAAATATTTATTGTTTATTTGGAAATACCTTTTAAAATATAAATAATGTTTTAATTCTTTAATTTTATTTTAATTGAGTCCCTTTTTACAAGTTATTTTAAATAAGTCTATTATATTAATTTTTTATGTTTATCAAATATTATTGTAAAGTTGTATATTTAATTTATATAACAATATATTTACTATTATAAATTTGCACGATATATAATATTGTTTACACCATAAATTGCAAAAATTTAAGATCATGCCACGTGTCAAAGATTTTTAAATGGATAAAAGAGACTTTGCCATATCAGATGTGCAATTCTAGGCTCATGATAGATCAACTGTCACTTTGGAAAGAAGGAGGTAAAAATATAAGATTTTATCTTTTAATTACCTTTTTAAATTAAAATTAGGATTGTTTTAGCTAGAATTTAGGAGGAGGTGTCAGTTATGGGTATGGTTTATTAGATAAAGAGAACAGGTAGCGAAATCTGGAAGGCAATTTGACATTGTCAATTGCTGAGGTGTCCCACTACATCAAAAAACTACTCATGATTTTTAAAACTACAGAAAGTGGGAAGTTATTGTCGGCAAAATGAGAACAAAAAGAAAATTTTGGAAGGGAGAACACACAGCCAACCCTACTCAAAACCTACAAATTTTTAGACTTTCGTTTTCTTTGCAATTGCTTATAGATTTTGGATTTCAGCACAATTTCCAGTAGACCTAGGTTGTTTTTCATCATTCCAGAGTCAAATTAATTCATGTATTCACTTCAACAATTTCATTTCATGTAATGCACTTCAAGTTGTTGAATTTATTCAAGGTATTATTCCTTTTCTGCTTGTAATTTGTTTAATGTTTATGATAAGTAGCATTTTATCAAATGATTATTTATATGGCGTTCACGTTTTTTCTCAAATTCAAGCATGTTAATTTAATTACTATTCACGTTTGTTATAGTGTTAATTAAGGTTAAATTTCTAATTTTACAGCAATTTAATTTTCAAATTTGTTAGTAAATAGCATTTTAATTTAACAATGAACATGTTTAATTTAATTTTGCGTACATCTTTTTTCTCACAAATTTATTTTAGATTGCATGCTATTTAATTTAATTAGGATTTGTTAACTTTGTTTCACAGTAGTGTTTAAGTCCCTAAAGTTTCCAGGGCAGATTTCATAATCCATTCTGCAAAAAAACATCTCTCCCCCTTACAAATCGTTTGTAAGCGCAGATTTTAATTTTAAACCAACGTTCTTCCCACCATCTACAAGGAGGTCGATCGTGAGGAAGGAAAGAGTCGTTGAAAAAATCCTCCTTTCTTATTTTTAATAAAGTAAGTGGTATGCTCGTATTCAGATTTTGCATGTGCGAGGCCACTAGAAGATTTTTGAAGAAACAAATATATTTTGATATAACACACATATCATACTAAAAAAAACCAACACGTTTGCAACTTGAGATTGACAATAACTATACCACTCAACAACTTTCAAACATACGAAGAAGTTTGTAGCTAAGGTTATTGTCATAAAAGATTTTATTTAAATTATTAATTTTAACTATAATTTCTTTAATTTATAATTTTTTAACGATTAATTGTTTGAAAATATTTATTTATAAACTAATTTTAATATATTAAATAATAAATATTAATTAATAAAAAAAATATTAATTATTTTATCAATTGTTGTTTTTAACAATTAAATTAAAACAAAAATTTGACAATTTTTATAACCTTAACAAATTAAATAGTAATTATAAGTATAGCCGAAGTTTACTAGCAAAAATATAAAATGTTTACCATATTTACATTTTGAATTACATTTTCAATCCTAATACTTTGTGGCATGCGATGTTCTAAAACAATTGTTACACCATGCATGGACCTAAAATGTCATGGCAACATACTTCAGCACAAGTCCAATGCCACTGCAAGTCCTTTTCTTTCTTTCTTTTTTTTTCTTCTTCTTCTTCTTCTTCTTCTTTTTTTTTTCTTTCTTTTTTCAAAAAGAGTGGCCATTAAGGGAAGGAGGGAATGGGGACGGGGCTGAGGGTATTAACACCAAAAGGCCATGAAACTCAGATGCTGGCGATTAAACCTGTTACATTTCGAAAGTAGCAAAATTAGATGAAAGATAAATTAAATTGCTACTAATCGTCTCATTGTGGACCCCGAAATAAACCAGCAATACATCTAACAATCTTCATATTGCAGTCTACCCATGTGGAACTCATGGATCCTCCAGATTCCAAGTGCTAGCGATTCCATGAAAAATTAAAAATTTGGGTACCTAATAAAAGTCTCCGAATTTGAGTATACAGGACGCCATTAGCATGCATTATATATAGAGGAACAAACATATCGAACTCATAGAATGCCATTAGAAATTTAGATGCCACAAAGTTGATCAAGATATATATCAAACAAGCTCTGATGTTCAGAATCGAACAGTTTTCCAATTAAGTTGTTGATGGAGTTGAATCTCAGATCCCAAACTACAATGGAAATCTAGAAGTCAGACATAAGATGTTATTGAAGCACTATATGACCAAATAAATGCCATTTTACTAATCTTGATTATCGTATCTCTGCATAGAAATGTAAACAAAGAGATTTCACTTCATCCACGAAGGAACAAATCTAAATTCTAAAGTCAATCACATTGAGGTAGAGTTACAAAAAGTTAAAAAGGTGATGTGGCTGGCAGTACCTTAGGCAACCCCTTGAATCAAACCAAACTTCAAGAGGAACTTCTTCTGATTGCCATCCAACATCTCTCTCAAACTACAATCTATGTTCCTCTCTTTCAAAAGTTTGTTCCGCAACTCTAGTCTCTTTTTCAAACCATGGCGAAAGAAGTCAGGATAATCAACAACTTCTTCAAATCCCTTTCCTAAAACTTCTACCAAGAACCTAATCCGGGGTTCTAAAGAATTCTTGATGCTCTTAATGAGAATTAGGGGATAACCAGTTACTATAGCCACTATCTGTCTATCCCCAAATCCACATCCTTTTAGATAAGCAAAATTTGGTCTCAAAATCCTATCCACATCTCTACACAAGACTTCAGGGAAGTTCATAGCCACTGTTTGAAGATCCTTCTTAGATAAACCTATTGATTTCAAAAACTCTGAGGTTGGCTGCAGCCTTTTGTCAACACTATACCCCATTAGATACGGGTGTTTCACCAAAACTTTCCCAATCATCCCTTCTCCCTTAAGGCCAAGAGCAGCAAGGAAGTCCACAATCTTGGTGAGTTTTGACTCAATGCTATAACTGATAAGCCTTGGATTTAGCAATATCATCTTCCCCAGCTGCTTTTCGGGTACCCCTAATGCCTGAAAGAAAGCCAGCAATGGACAGAGTTTCTCCTCCACACTGTGGGAGAGTATGTGAGGGAATCTGGCAATGGCAGAAGCAACTTCACTCCGTTTTGTCCCAAGGGTAGCAAGACACTCAACCATGGGTACAAGCTTCTGATTGAGATCCAGAGTAAGAATTTTGGGGCACTTGGAAACTATGTAAGGTAGCTTCCTCTCCTGAATGCCTATGCTTTCCAAGTATGCCCAGTTCTCTGAGGCTTGCTCTTTTTGGACACCCTGAAGACGCTTGCACTTCCTAGATATTTTGTTAATGCTTTTATCATCAAAACCCTTGTCCCTAAAGAACCACATGATGCTACTCCCATTCTGACTGCTACCCATCTCCATCCCCACTATGAAAATTTACAATATGTTGCAAATACATCAATTTAAAGCAAAATTGAGTAATAAAGATGACAATTTTTAGGAAAATAAAGAAGGAGAAAATATCAAATGAATAACTCTCTGCCTCTACAATGACAGGAGAGAATTAAGAGGGAACACAATTTACCTTGATATTGAATCAGAGAAACCAAGAAGCAAGACCCAACTGCAGTGCTCCGGTTATTGGAGTTTTAAGCATCAGAGCAAAAGCAATGGCCCCAGATACTGAATGGAGCTTTTGGGAACTGAAAGAGCAGAGCAAACTATTGACAACCACATAAAATTTGAAAAATGAATAATAAGCATGAACATTAGGTAAATTAGAGTTGCCACTTGCTCAAATTATAAGGTGGAGCAAGTCACCTCAAATATGGTGCTGCAAAATTTAATTTTTGGGAATTTAACCAATTTATTTTATCTTATTAAAGTGATTCTATTTCTAATTTTTTTTATCTTTTAATTTAATTTTTAATTTTTATTATTTATTCTACCTTTGACTTTGACCTCTGTTGTTGACTTGACTTCTACCCTTTTCACTTGCCAATTTATTTAATTTTACCCAAAGTCTTCGTTTCATCATAAAAATCACAAAACTCAATCCAATCCCATTATTAAACCAACTAATGCATTTTTAATTTAAGTTCTCTTGGTCAATATGAAGAAAAGCTCCAAGAGAGAGGCCTTGCTCTATTGACCATTTAAGTATAGGTTTTAAAACTAAACATTATTTCCTATAGAAGCCTTCCCATGAACCAAAGACAATTGCCTGAAATGAATTCCTCAAAACAAAGCAAATAACCATAGATATGCTTTTGAAAATAACAGTGAACCCCTATTAACCAAACAAGATCCTCCCGTGATTTCTTTTCCTTGCCTCAGCAACATTCTTAAAAATGGAATCTTGATTAAAGCATCCTTCCTGGTCAATGACTTATAACATGGATCCACTATAGACTCATTCAAGCTCATACATTACACAAAATATGCCGAATAGTCTATTTATACTTGAATTCTCCTTATCCCTATTTCAACTTCTTGAATCAATAAACACATGAATCATGGAATCAAAACTTTACTATTTATACTATTCGAAAGCTGACTGGAACTAACAAAAGCAATCAGACATGACCTAGATAATTCACCAAAATAAAGCACATTTTGCACTCAACTGATTGAGATACATTTCTTTTAGAGTCTATATAACAGGGAAAGATTCAAAATTATAAATCTGATTGGAGGAAATAGTAAAAGGGCAATCATCCTTTTCAAATCATAACGAAATTGGGGTTTATGTGCTAGCCAAGTAGCAGCAGTTTTTGAATGAGACTGAATAATGTATGCACATAATTACTCCAGAAATCACCTCTTCCAATTGAAAATCCCAAAAATGAATTCTCAAGTATCAAATTAAACAAACAGAAGATCAATGAAAGCTAAGAATAACATGAAAAGAAGTCATATCAGAATGGGGTACTACTGACTACATTAATGAATTAGTAAATATAATCAGAAGAGGATTAGGTCCTTACTCTCAGGACTTCTCAACCAAGATAACTAGAACCCAAAATCAACAAAGCAGCAATTAAATGCTTAAATTTCAACAGAACAGCATTTCAAAATTCAAATTTCAGCTAAGATTCGAATACACACAAATTAGCCAGAATTCACACAAGAAAATCAGGGTTGTTCTCAGGACCTTCCACAGACTCCAAAACATCAAATAAAACCAGAGAAAACGTAAATAAAACCCTTAGGAACTCCTCAATCAAAGGGCTAAATCCACCACTAAATCATCTTCGTTCAATCACAAGCATTAAATCTACGATTTACCTTGAACAACTGAAGTAGATTACTGATTTTCCAATTGATTGCTTCCAGAAAACTCGGCTACAAAGTCCCTTTTGGATCCTTTGTAAACTTCTGATTCTACAGAAAAGAACCTCGAATTTCTCGCACGTAAAATCCTCTCCTTCCGGCTGAAGCAACAAAGCCCCCTAAGAACTTTTCTCGTCGTCTGCTCTTCTCCTCCTTCGCTCAGTGGTGACTCTCCTCTGCTTTCACTCCAGCGGCAATTGAAGGTTGCAAAACTCTTTGGGTAGTTGGTCGCAATTTCACGGTGAGGCAGAAGTTGGTTCAGGTGAATAGTGGCTGAAATGCCAGGAGATCAGCTCGGGAAGAGGGAAGAGAAACGGGAAAGGGACGAGTACAATCACTTGGGCAGAGGCGAATAGGAAGCCACAGGGCAAGTCTGCCGAGAGGGTGATGGTTGTGTGTGGCCGAAGAGGAAGAGGATGTAGAGTGTGCCGCAGATAAGGCTACTATGAATAGACAGAACAAAAATGAGTTTCCTAAACAGGAACGTTTGGATGGAGATGCGCCGTCGTATCAAATAATATATATATATATATATATTTTTTAATGTTAATCGTATCAAATAATTGCACCGTGGTATCATACAGTAATTTATGTCCTACAATTCAGTATAGTGTATAATTTTTTTTTCGGTATAGTGTATACTACCAGTACTACATAAGGGTGTTACCTGTATGGTTTGTTTCGGATTTTATTATTTTTTAAATTAATTCAATTTAATTGATTAATAAAATTTTTAAACTAATCCAATCCACTATTATGTGGTAACCAAACTAGTCTAATTTAAATTGGATCGGTGTGGTTCGGTCAGATTGATCAATTTTTAATATTATTAAATATATAAGATAATGTAAAAATATTTTAATATCAAATAGAAAGTATAATTATAAAATAAATTAACATCCAAATCAGTAAAAACATAACAATAAGTAAAAATTATAAACAAATTCTTATATTCTTTTATATTTGTAAAAATTGAAAAGCTCTTAAAATTATTCTTGGTCATATCACTAGAGGCACCAAAAATAATAAAAAATAACTTCAAATTTCTAACACAACGTAAATAATTTTTGAAGATTAAAATTCATTTTTTTTCCTAATGCACTAATAATTTAATCACATTTTCTAAATCATATTAAAAGTGAATAGCATTTAACATGAATATTACTAAAATTGATTAGAAGCATTCATAATCAAAATTTAAAACTTCTAAACCAAATATCTAAAAATAATAGAATATTAAAATTAATTTTATTATATAGTTTTAAGACTTTTAGAATGATACTTATTTAAAATTTAGTTAGGAGAATCATAAGATAATTTTAAGAATAAATTAGAAATTTAGGATTCTAAGAGTAAAGGCACAAACCAGTTATGAGATAATAGAGTTGCAGATGAATTAGAAATTTAATAATAATTTAGGGAATATGAAAATGTTCTATTTTTATTTTTTTTAATTAAGTTAATGGAGTTATAATCTTGTAAAATAAGAAAAAAAATAAAATACTACAAAAAAATGTGTTATATTATTTAATTAAATTATATTCTAATCATATTTTATTTTGTAATCGGGCAATTCGAGCGGTTTGAAAGTAAAATCATGAACCAAACCAATTATATCAGTTTTAAAATTTTAGAATTCAAACTAATCTAATTTTATATTGATTTGAATCGATTTTTAATTGAATTGGATCAGTTTAGCTCAGATCAATTGGATTGGATCAATTTAGTTCAGATCAATTGGATTTGATCAGTTTAGCTTAGATCAATTAGATTGGATCGGATATGAATACACCTAGTACTACATGACGCTCCTTTGAACAAAAATTTATCCGCTTCACAATTCACATCTTGTCTCCACTGCACTCCAAATTTAATGCTTATTGAGTTCATTCATGTTCAATTCTACTTAGGGATTACAGTGTTTTTGAGTGAATTTATATATGTCTCAAAATTAATTATATTTTGGTTGGATTAAAAACAAATCCTTCATATCTCTAGTCTTCAATAATTAAATATACTTTTACTACTAATTTGTATTTTAAATTATAGTAAAAGTTATTTTTAATTTTAATTCCAAGGCCATATAAACGATTTTAATTGAAGGATTTTTTTTTAATTTGTGCTAAATGGTGTAATTATCACGCCTTTTAGTTATTAAGTCACATGGAAAACCAAGAAAGTTTATATTAATTTTAGCATCAATGTAATGTGTATTATTATTATTATTATTTTGAACAAATTCGCAATGGGTCGGATTCGAACCGTTGCCTTGAGGGTGGGGGAATGCACTTATATGTGACTTGACGTCACTGGGCCCGAAGGACAAAGTGCGTGTATTAATTTAATTAGTTAATTATTAAAATAAAAATCAAATTTTGTTTTTTATATGTAACTTAATAGCTAAATGATGCATTAAATACATTGATTAAAATGTTTATCAAACTTGCGCAATAGATGCAATAAATGCATTTATTATTGTTTTTAATTAGCTA